ACCGTATTCTTAATCCGCCACCACACGGAATGCGACTCTGACCGGCTCGAACTATTTATTGCTCAAATTTTTGAAATCCATCCGAATAAGCGATGCCCCTTTCCTACCTCTAAATTGCCTTCATATATAGGTATACCTTTTCTTTCACTAAACTCAAAATTTCTTCCAAAATCTAATTCCTTAAGAGCGCAATTGGCGACAATAGGCTTTCATTATTACCAACATGGGAATAAAACTATAGTCCGCAAAATGTGGGCGTTTAGGTAATTTTCTACGCCTCCGGGGATATAGGTACACTTGAGTGCATGTATGTGTGTTAAATACCCGTATTGACGTAATAGGTATAAAGTAATTTTGTGATCATTCTTTTTTTTTTATCGAAGGCACGTTAATATTGTGGTCACACTTATTTAACCTATAGGTTATACGACCTTCAAACCTTCAAGAAAAGAGCGTACTCCTTCCTAAAAGGCCGCCAACGCGTTTGTGACTCCTGAGTTGCAGACGTTCATAGGCGGCGATTCCATCAGGTGACCCGTCTGCTCGTCTGCCCCCTCTAACATAAAAAAAAACTTGACAAGTTTATATACATTTCTCACGAGTGCAATGTTCTATATTATAACTGTGGAGATTAAAATCTAATCTTAGATCTAACTATTCCATTACCCAAAAATAATTAAGTTTTAGATCATATATTTTTAAACAATACAGTGTTAGGGACCTACTGTTGTTGTTCTCAAGCCTAATTGTGTTACAAATAGATGCGCCTTTTGCTTAGTATCTACCTGCCTGACGCACAAGGTTCTTGTGATCTTTAGAGAATTTAAATTTAATAAGCCGTGGATTCTTCATAGTGGTGTAAGTCTTTCAAATTATGAAGTAGTCGTTTGTGGAATGCATTTAGCGATTAATGTAAAGCAGTAGGTATTTAAATGATATGATATATATAGATATGATAAACTGGTTTCTGGCTGCGGCAATGCTCGCGTGATTGTAGCATTTGGCAATCAACCAGCCGGTGTCAAGTAGGTACGCGATTCCGGCATTACCGAAAAAACTCCTGTTTATCCTTTGCCTTCGGCAATTATAAAAGCGATAAAAATTATACTGCCAATGAGGGTTGGCGTCACACAGGCACAAACACACATTACGCAGACTCCATGTAAATGTGCCAATCGTGAAGTGCTTATTTGTCCTATCTTCCATTGGGTTAATTTTACAGGACGAAGTTTATTTTGTCGTATTAAAAATTAAAGCCATAGTTTCAAAATTTGAAAGTTTTTCTCAATACATGAGTTTCCAATCAATTGATTGTTAAGATTTTCATCTATTGATGGTAAATAAATATACTTTATTTTACGGATTTTGTATGGAGATAGAACAAAAATGCCCAAATGAAATTACGAATGTGGAATTATGCCACTACCTCATTAGAGATAGCACTAAGTGACCGTTATATTTGTGCATGCTTATTTGTTCTAAGTGCCAAATGTAATAAACAGGTTGTTTATTTAATCTTCACATTGACTGGAATTAATGATAGTGTGTTTTGGTGTATTTTTTTGACTTTCAAGAATAGGGAATATGCATGTATTTTTTTATTTTTTTAAACGATTCTACTAGTTATTACTTACATTACCAAAAATAAATATATCCGAAATATAAACCGTTAAGCAAAAAAAAATTATTAAAATCACTATCATTTTGGGGCAATTTGAACACGTCCATTTTGGCGTGCTTTTTTTATGACGTCAGATTACACTTTCAGACGAATTCGATGTCAACAACGGAGTGAAGTTCACAAAGTTTGTGAAAGTTAAAAAGTGAATGATAAAATTAACTTATTACCATGGAAAAGCCAATAAAAACTTATTATAAATATTGTGCCGTTCCTTTGTGCCCAAATAATATCAAAACTGCACCTGACAAAGTATATTCAGTCATTGTGTTGAGTCTTTCTACACGGGAATTTAATAATTTAACACTGCAAACGTATTAGTTATTAACTTAAAATGAAACAATTAATCACCAGAAACCAAATATTACAAATACACACAACTTGTTGACACTCTTGACAGTGTAGGTTGACGTCACGTTTTATTCAACCAATAGCGTTGCGTTTTAGAAATTTGCGAGGGAATCTTAAAAAAGCCAATTTTTGATGATTAAATTTCACTATTAAATTATAATAAATTTCAAAAATAATTGTATGGGTATCTTTTTTTAGCAATCAAAATTACAAATAAAAATGTTTTGTCCATTTTGGTGTCACGTGCATATTCCCTATTATGGTGCCTATAAATAAATAAAACTTGTACAAGAGGTCATCATCATCATCATCAACGGCCTCTACTAGTCCACTGCTGGAAATAGGCCTCTCCTTAGAAAGGAGGTTTTGGCCTACTATACCAAAAGAGTACAAGAGTACAAGGTTGTACAAGAGGTACAAGTAAAAAAACTTGTACCTCTTTCTTTATTTTTTATTTATTAAGTGTCAAACAGAAAAAAACCGGAAACTAAAACACACCTTACACAACCTTGCACATCCTTACCGTTAGAGGCTGCCAAAAAATGCCGCCTTTTTAGTATAAAAAAAGAATTCGGGCCAATGAATTATCTATTTCAACTCAATTGCTCTTGTTATATCAGACGTAGGACATAAAACAAAAACTGGACATAGAACACATAAGCACAAAATTTTCATTACAGTATCGTGTATAAAATTGAAATGTTTTTTTTGTTGTTTTAAAAGCAAAAACCAACAGGTGCAAAATTTAAATCTTAACAATTACGGCCGTTACTAGTAAATGTAACCAAGTTAAAGACTGCAAAGAAACCAGAGACAAGGAACAACAGGTGTGGTCCAGATCTAGAGCCATAATAAAGTTCATTCGATTTAAGGCAATCACTTCTTCTTCTAAGGCCTTAGACCATAACGAAGTTCTTGGGAGAGCAAAAGGTTGTAAAGTAAAAAAGCTTGGCTGGCTTTATTTTAAGCATATTCATTCTCTTTAGTTGATTTTAATTCTATAGGTATAAGATAAAGTTGTTCGGTATAGTAATCCTTTTTTTTTTTCCGTGCGGAAATCCCCTCGGATACCACCTGTCGGTGGCATGTCGGACTCGAACCGACTAAAGCCGCACACCGTCTCGGGTACTACTAACCCGGGGAACCAGGTATACCCTAGAAAGGAAGTCCCTGGTGCCCGACATACCTCGGGCCATCTACAACAAGTAGACGACCCCCGTGTGGGAAACCCATGTTCCCTCTGCTCCCTGGTATAGTAATCCCTAAAGTTTTTACTTGGGAATCTTATGAAATGAAACTATTTATTCTGCAAATAGGTAACAAGAATACTTACAAGTCAAACTTTTTCAGAGCAGATGAGTTTGGCATTTCCTAACTGGACTAGCCCTGAGTTTTTCAAAAACTTATTACACTTATATCTATGACTAGTTTTTTAAGTACTTATTTCACTTTCTAAACACATACCCATTTTAGTATGAATATGATTCACAAGTTATTAGTCGTTCTTGTTACTCTAGTTCATATTTTCTCTCTTTGACCCTAAAAATTAAGCTTCTCTAGAATTGGTAACTTTACCAAAGAAAAAATTCTCGTTACAATTCGTGTTACACTTGGCAAATACATATAAATCACATAGCAAAACTCGCAATCAGAATGTGCTTGATTCTCTAAGAACATATTAAATCTGTTTGTAATGAGGATTTACGAAAATGGTGGCCTCGGGTGTGGGCGGGTATAGTTTAGCTCGTACTTGTATTTCTGTCTTGTCTAGACCATATGCGATATATTACGAAGCGCAAAATTAATGCAGTCTAAATTGAATACTTTAGTATTATGGTGATAGCATTGTGTTTAATTCTCTTGAACGCACTGTAACGTTCGTGCTGTACTTACCTATACAAAAACACGCCATATCTTTTATGAACGCATTATTTTACTGTTCTATTGGCCACCCTGTAAAATGACATTTGATAGTGATGGGAAAAAATCCACATATCAGAAATATTATGTAATTCCTTATAGAAACTCATGATTTGAAAGATCTTGGTTTCAATTTTCATTTCTCACCACAAAATTACAGCAATTACAGAAAATATTATATATATATAAAGTAACATCGATACTAGCTAGGAGGTCAACCTAGTGTTTACACAAAGAATGTATCCTTTTAAAGTCCTAATTTATTAAATAAAATACATAATATAATACAATATGTGTGTGAGATACATTATTATATTATTTAAATCACTTTAATGCAAAGAAATAATAAATCATCTCAATGTGCATTGATTATACTTTTCTCCTGCTTTGAGTTTTTTTCTGTAACTAACTATAACATAAAACACGGGTTTTTAAAAAGAAAAAGTATTTTTTAAACTAGTCTATTTTAAATTCGTTAATCTTGTCAAAATTCTGGTCATAACACTAACACAGCAATGGTATTTCGAGCATGTGGAAAAAGGAAATATGAGTACTCCTTCATTACAAATTCACAAATAATTAAACCACTTACCTGCATTTTCAACTGTAGAGACGTCAATATCACCCATCGTGATAGTTTATCGTTGATTGCACATCACTACGAACGTCACACAGTCACTGATAGATTTTCTCAAATGAAGTGTTGAATTCCTTTTCTCTTCAAATTCATTGAAGGGAGATCACAAGATTTTAGTACTGTTGTGTTCATTGCAACTGTTTTATTATCGGAACACTATATTTCCGTCCGAATAACATGCACAACACAGAATTATATTTATCATAAAGTGAGTATAACTTGTTTATCCGTCATCAGCTGTAAATCGCTTGACGGGCGGGGGATGACTGAACTGAGTACCAACATGAAAAGAAAATATTGTGGGAGGAAAACATTTTGTTGATGGGTCTCGGTGGTAATTCCGCAGATAATATTCCATGTGTGTGGCTCCGGCGTTCATAGAAAGGTGGCGAGGAGCAGCTTTACAAGAGCACAATGACACGCCCGGGACCTCCGAATGAAAACCTTCCCACTGTGAGTGTTGGACTTATACGTATTTCCTTTGCTATGTACTATCTCGGATTTAAAAAAAAGGTTTTTTATTTTTTTTTATCTATTTATTCATTTACTAAAAAATGTGCTTGATAATAAAAAAAATACTGTTTGTATATAATACAAAGGTAAAAATAACTGTTTACAATTTATGCTTAGCAGTCAAGCATTATCTATTAAAATTGTATAAAGATCAAAGTAAAGAACTGATTCATTGATTATCTATAACAATAACAAGCTTCTTTTAGATAACCATAAATCATTTTTAGTTGAAAGATATAGGTAATTCCTTTTATTTCAGTCTGATAATTATATTCAGGCACTTCAGAAGTGCACTTATCTCCCTTGTAGTTAGAACCGTGTTCTTCATGTGTCAGTGTTTGCAATATTTGTTCCAAGTGTTGTTTAAAAATTATCGCCCTATACTATATAATGTAAAGCTTGCTTTTGCCAATGGCTTTGCTTTATGATAATAAAGTTCTTTTTCTATCTCAAACACTATAGTATCTTTGTTCCGAGAGTTAGAATAGATAAAAGGTGAACTATAGTCTGTAATGTTTTATGTTTTTTTGAGTACTTATCATGGTGTGAAATTTTAATAGACGGACAGTTACTATCACTATTCTAATATTGGTAAATTTCATACGGTATTGAACATTCATTTCTTAATAAAATATAATTAACTTTATGTAGTGTCTAAATTATGACTACTTAGACACAACATGAAATTACCTCAGGTCAAATAAAAAAATCAAGATTGAACGCTAAGAACAAAGTGAGGCCAGTTTTATAAACATGTGTGCCATCATAATTTTATTTTATTGAAAAAATTAGTTTCTGTGCTTACTTATGTGTAAAATGTGCTTCCATCCTACTATCTATTTCTTTTAGTTTGATTTTTACAATGTTTCATGACACAATTTGGCAAATATTCTTGTTTTTTCATTGTACATGTACATATGTGTGTAATTGTGTATGTGCACGCCAAGGCATAGTTGGCCTCACTTCTTTGTTCTCAGAGTACGATCTTAACTTTTTATTTGATCTGATTGCTATATTTTTACAAATTGACATAGAGAACTGAACTACCTCAATACCAGTCTTGTTTCAAATACCTGTTTGGTGGAAACAGCAATGTTTCCTCTTTATAAATGACTAGCTGAGACCCGCGGAACGCCGCGGGTCGAAGCTAGTCTAAAAAAAGTAGCCTAAGTTACTCCTTATGTCATCAGCTATCTGCCAGTGGTTCTTATCGAAATTGGTCCAGCCGTTCCAGAGATTACCCGGAACAAACACACAGACAGACAGACAAAAATTGTAAAAGATGTTATTCTGGCATATGTACTGTGTAAACATACATATGCATTTAGTAAAAAGCGGTTATTTTAATATTACAAACAGACACTCCAATTTTATTTATTTGTATAAATGATAAATACTATGATTTAATGTTTTGCTTTTGTATGAGAATTTTTATGGAACTGCACTGTAAATGTTTCTTTGTTTTGCTAATTCATACCATTGAGGCAGCCTATCTGAAGGTCATTTCTGGGGGTCAATCATTCTACATATACCATTTATTTAAAAAATACAGTGATCAGCTTTAAGTTTGACAGGATTCTTTAAAATTGAATTACCACCTGCCGTATACAAATTTAGAAATTTTAAAGCTTTTTGCACAGAAACCGGGGTTAAGCAGTTCTTTCATTGCATACCACTAAGCGAGTGAGGTTACCTGAGGCCCAACCCCTCCTTCTCCTCATGACGAGGGAGATGAACTTGGGTCTCTTGAGTTACAAGTGTCTATGAGCAACGGTACTCACTACCAGGTGACCCATCTACTCTTTGCTCCCTATACCAAAAAAATTGTATTTGACACAAAAAAAATTTGTTCTGTAATGAATAATTTTGCTTGATTTTTCTTGATCTGTGTAGAATGGCATAGTGGTTTTAGCAGTCACGCTAGTAGTCGTCGCTACTTCCTACTGCGCTGACTGTTGTGAGTTCGATGCTAGCACGGAACAACACATTTTGTGATCCACAAATTGTTGTTCTGAGTCTGGGTGTTCTTTGTGCCCATTTCAAGGATAGTCCCCAAGTCCCCCGCGACATAGGATTATACCGAATATATTCCTAATGCGGGAGTTTTCTTTATTCTAAATAAATAATAAATAAATAAATTTTATTTATTAATGGACTCATGCACACTTACATAGGGACTGTTGATATGTTAATACAATGCTTTGTGTAACAGCCCTCTTTCCACTTTTTGGAACCACCATTTTGTACTCCTAAATTAGCAACCCGTCATTGTGCTCCCTCTATAAGTAAGTATATATGTTAAAACGAAATCTTTATGATTCAAGAGTACTAATAGGGAACAAATCATTGTTTTGTTTGATAGTAAAGAACGCACACAACAGTTTTGAACGATTCATATTGGCGTGTTGACATATATATGCTGCAACGTTTAATCCTACTTGTTTTGAGGAAAGATGTTTAGTACTGTGCAAATGTGCTTCTAAGTGTTACAAAGGTTTCCTTGTGTAAGATACTCCGTAATAGTTTTATATCAGTGTTATTTTATTGGTACATAATGTACTTATGATTATTATTATTTAACACCTATATTTTACTAACTATAATTTCTGTCCCACTCACCTATTGCTGTCAACCAGCCATATATATTTCTTTGCATATATCTTTGGAAATCATTGGGAGAGGCCTATGTCCAGCAGTGGACAAGCATAGGCTGAGATGATGATGATGATGAAATATCTTTATTCCTATACATCTGTACAAATAAATAAAATTGAAATGTCTGTTTGTAATTTAAAAATAATAGGTTTTCTTCATGCTTACACGGTTATTTGCACGATACCTATGTCTAAAACCCAGTTTAAAATATTTTTGTCAGTTGACTTGACCGATTGTGATAATATTTTACTACCAAGTAGCTGTCTATATAAGGAGTAACTTAGGCTATTTTTTCTCTCAGAAAAACCCTATAAAATTTTGCCTTATCCGGGAATCGAACTCACTAAGGCAGCGCTTTACAAAACGCAAACGAAGTCGCGGGCACCAGCTAGTGTTATTATATATGACAGACCAAATGAATTTCCCCAAGCATTTATACTACGAGTATTGCGTATTGTATTGTATCTTTGTATGTGTATTATTTAGATATTAAGCAATTTATATTTTGGCTTATAATTCCATAGTTGTCATACAGTACAGTAATAATCTATACTAATATTATAAAGCTGAATAGTTTGTTTGTTTGTTTGTTTGAACGCGCTAATCTCAGGAACTACTGGTCCGATTTGAGAAATTCTTTCAGTGTTAGATAGACCATTTATCGAGGAAGGCTATAGGCTATATATCATCACGCTAAGACCAATAGGAGCGGAGCACCATTGAAGAATGTTTCAAAAACGGAGAAAATTTATTACTATTGAGAGACGCAGACGAAGTTGCGCGGGTCAGCTAGTATTTAATAATCTCACATACAGTCATCTGATCTTAAACTAGGCAGAGCCTGTACTATAGTGATCAGACTGTGTGATAAACATACAAAAATATTTCTAAATAGTTGTACCCCTTTTTTTTTTCTTTTTTTTCCATGCGTAAATCCCCTCGGATACCACTTATCGGTGGCATGTCGGACTCGAAAAATAGCTGTACCCTGAAATACTTCGCCATGGCACATTGTGTTTGCTAAAATAGACAAAAACCATCTTTGAGATCGTGTCAAAATTTGATTTAATCGGTGCAGAAATTTTTATACATATATGGACACAATTATTTGTCTTGGGTAGGATTCGAAGCCAAGACCTCTGGCTTGGCGTCACTAACCACTAGACCAATAGACGGCCCGTCGTGGTTGTCATGGTAGTCCATCCTGGGTCTCAATTCTGCTATTTCATGTTAACGTCAGGCCACTGTCATTCCATTGACACGCCATTGAGAAACCATGCCATCGGTTAAAATATCAGTATTCTACTAACATAAATTCACAGTGTCAATAGACTGTCGACCCACATTACACATCCATATTCGGTATACAATTCATTGCGCCTAGGGTTTTATGTGATCATCGGGGCAAGACAATGGCCATCCCGATTGAATATACCCCTAAATCCTATTTAGAACTATGTCACCGGCCGTTTGTTTTTTTTACTCATCGGGAATAAATTTTCTACAAAATTAATAAAGATATGTGTTCCATCCATCCCTATTTTTAATTTCTTTACTGTTGGTATGAGGTAGCCTTAACAATGTATCCGCACAATTCCCCTTAGACAAAACAAATTCTATCTCGTAACTGTACCCAGATATTAAGACTGCCCAACGTGGCTCGTAATCTCGATGCGGCCATTATCGGTATGTCTACTTTATTTCCTAAAATATATGTTAATGGCTTATGATCCGTTCTTAGCATAAATTAATTTGCGAATGCCATAAACAATAGTTTTTGTTCTCAATTATAGTAACCATACGAAAACATAGATCATTAGGGATGTGTTATTTATTTTGCTCGTGCGTTTAATGAATGACGTAACCCCATTACGCTCTCACGTTAAAGTATAATCTCTAATACGCCATTAAATACAATATCTACCAATTGAATCCAATTAAAAGTAGCATTTATCTGGTACATCAAACAGTTTTTTCGATTTATATTTAAGATTAATTTCGCTATAGTTTAGTTTTACAATTGACTCGGAGATATATCCAGTGTTCTGTGTTTTGCTTTGTTCATAGTTAAAAAGTTGTGTTGGTTTTATGAAAGGTTGAGTTTTAAACACCGGTTTTGCTAGAAAAGTGATTAATTAGATTTTATCTTTCTTGTTAATTTGCTGGTAAATTCTGTCAACAAAATTTTAGTTAAATATCACAAAAGTTAATGTAACCCGTTGTGTTACATGCTTGTAACACTAGTCAATAGTTACCGCGGCAACTGTTGCTATAACGACTGCGTTTTGTGTCCTCTATCATGAATGATAGCTTTCATCATCATCATCAACAGCCTATAAAAGTCCACTGCTGGACATAGGCCTCTCCTTAGAAAGGAGGTTTTGGGTTTGTTTCAAGTTTTCCTTGTCTTTGCAGTGCTGTTGTCCTGCGTAGTTTGCTCCCTTAGTTATTGGATCTTACGATACCCACGGGATAAATAGGGGTCGTGACATTCCGTATTCTTAATCCGTCACCACACAAACATGGTAGCTTTATTTTTCTAAAAATGTTAACAAATATTTTCAATATGCTTGTAGTAAAGAAACTGAAAAGATATTAAAAAAATCACACAGTTTTAAGTGTACCTTATACTGTTTTTGCACAAGTCACTTTTTGTTCAAACATAAACATAATTGATTATCGAATTGCTGAGATGTGTTTTATATTACTTCCAAATCAAATTATTAAAAATCTATATTATTAATATTATAAAGCCGAAGAGTTTGTTTGTTTGAACGCGCCGATCTCAGGAACTTCTACTTAGAATGGACAAATTCTTTTAGTGATAAATAGCCCATTTATCGAGGAAGGCTATAGTCTAGATAACATGACGCTACGGCCAGTAGGATCCGAGCATCAAGGAAAAATGTTGCAAAGATGAAAAAAATGTATTCCTTTTGAGCGCTGACGAAGTTGCGTGCGTTAGTTAGTAAGTTATAGAAAGAAATCTGATCTGTGATACTACTACGCTCAGTGTTGTGGGTTTGATCCCCACATGGGACGGCACTTTGTGTGATCCACAAATTGTTTTTTGAGTCTGGGTTTTCTTTGTGTACGTTTCATGTATGTTTGTCAAGTCCCCCGCGACACAGGACATATTCCTAATCTTGACTTGTCTTTTTTAAAAGAAAAAAAAAGAATTCGCTAAACTTGACAGCAATGGCCTTGGCCGCTATTTTATAGTGGGAAAGATATAGGCAATTCCTACGCCTTTGCCTACCCCTTCTGGAATATAAACATAAAAACAACAACAAAAAGAAAGATAATTTGTGTGACTCATCAAAACCTCAGAAAGTATGGAAAGTAAAAAGTAACAATGGGATAGGTTTATCTACCTATTTCAGAATCGATACCACTACTTATTTAAATTAGTTACAATAGTTACTGAGTTGCAGGCGTTCATGGGCGGCGTTAGTCACTTTCCATCAGGTGATCTCTCTGCTTTTTTGTCCCCAAATCATGTAAAAAGCTTAATAAACGCTCACAAGTCATTTCTTTCAAAATGCTTTTCACCCGATTTTTTATTCCGTGCAATTTTTGTGTGACTGATGCACGGGCTTTTTTCATATACATTTAAATACCATTGCTAAATAACATTTAGATTAAACAGCTGTATAATATGATTTGTTTTCAGTGTTGCCAGTTCACCCGCGTCAGTTTGAGCTATGTCGTTGTTCAAAAATAGTGACAGCGTTAGTGGATTTGTGTATTTTTTTTTTAAATATAAATATGTTCTTTGTGCTGGAATCTGGCCAGGTCCAAGTTGTTTACCGCAAGGATTGACGACACGGCAATGCAAGGCACTATGCTGCGTTGCAGGTTTCTTGTCAGTGTAGTAATTAAGTGACAAGGACCTTGCTTGACTCCATAAAACTGTATATCATCCTACCACTTTTCCTGGAAAGCATGATTTCGTGATACTTCTGACTAAGTAGAAAAAAAAATTAGTTTAAATAAATTGTGTTGTTTGTTGTTTGTATGTTTTAAAGGTGGTTAATTATTCGCATAATAGCTATCCCAAAATACTCAAAAGCAGTGTAAGTAATTTTGCTTTTGATCTCTTTCAAGATCATCCGTCTAAGAACACATGAGAACTTATTGTACTATACGATAGAATTGTTAAAAACATTTGAAGGGTTTTACTTGATTTTTGACTGTCCGTGTCTGTGTCGCCTGATCTATTTTATTACCTCTAGTGTCATTGTCAAACTGTCTTAGTTTAGTAGAAGTAGTAATGTTTCATTGTATTGTGGATAATACCTGTTGTCTCCAAAAAAATCACTCAATGTGACTGTAGAGTTTTGAACCTAACATATACGTTTTTTGTAACTTGTTAACTAATTAATGTCAGACAGTACAAAAACTTTAGCAGAAATAATATCCCTAAAAGCAAGTCTTATGCAGAATGTTACACAAAGGTGTGGACAACTTTTAGTAGCGTTTGGCCTTTGTCCATACTTTTTCTAGCAGGCAAATTTCTGGATAAATCTGGACACAAGTGTGCTGTCGCCATTTGAATGTCCTCCCACAATTGGGTTCACCGAAATGTGGCATTGGGCACGCGGTGAAAATTAACGAGAAAAATGCTTATCACCGGTTTTCTGTGATTTCATGGTATCACGGTCGAGCCAACTGTGGGCATGGTTCTCCCACGGTAGATTTACGGGTATTACCGAGGTCTACTACGTCTACTATCTATCACATCATTTATGTAACATTCTGTATGTCGTCTTCTGTCACATAAGACAGTATATTTTTCGATTGGTTTCCAGATCAAATTGGTAGTGGTTGGTGACGGTGGTGTAGGCAAGTCTGCTATCACCATACAGTTCTTCCAGAAGTTGTTCGTGACTGATTACGATCCTACGATTGAGGACTCTTACATACAGCATACGGAAGTGGATGGACAATGGTGCATATTGGACGGTGAGTTACTTCTCAATTTTCGGCCATAGCCATTTTTTTTATGGTATAAGGGGGCAAACGAGCAGACGCGTCACCTGATGGTAAGCAACTACCGCCGCCCATGGACACCTGCAACTCAAAAGTCACAAGTGTCAGCGGAGGGGGGTTTTGGCTCCGGTAACCTCACTCACTCAGTGGAAGGCAACGAAAGAATCGCTTAACACCGGTTCTCCGTGAGGCCGTGGTATCACTCCGGTCGAGCCGGCCCATTCGTGCCGAAGCATGGCTCTCCCACGCCATTTTGGTCATGTTTATCGATTGTGACTGCTGAACAGTCTCAGGTTCGATTCCCATCCAGGACCAATAATTGTAGGATGAGTACGACCTATCATTTTTGTGCCTGGGTGTAATTTATCTGTAACAATAATAAAAACAACTATTCATTATTTTGTATTAGTATCTAAATTGCAAAATTCAGATATTCACTTTTAATATATGTACTTACATATTTTCTTTAAATTAGGAATTCTCGAAAAGTTGTAGGTAAATGTTGTACTTTTCCCACGACTACGGTATATTTAGGACCTTAACATAAGACTAGACTCGTACCCAATTGTGAACCCAGATGACATCGTGAAATGCGTTGGTGTCAACATTTATAGCGCACAGTCTGTTCGTGCGTAGGCGGAATTTAAGCCTTTTTCCACAAGTGTCAAAGTTCAAATCCCTTGCGGGTTGGCCTTTCTAACTTTATTCAATATTTTCTATTACGTCATCACCCAGTATCCTCGATTTAATAAATTAGGAGAATTCTATCACATCAGCATTTTGAGTGCAACATTTATTTATTGCCTTTAAAAACAACTATTATTACAGGTTTAGCCCAATGCAATAGTGTTATACCATCTACTTATTTATTATAAGAAATAATTCTTAATGCTGTTATTGTGAATCCACTCAGTGACCAATAAAATAAATCTATTTCATCCGCAATTATATTCAGAGTACGTAGTGCGCGCGTCAGCGGTGCTTCTCTCTGCAGGTAGTACATAACATCGCAGTACTAAGAGTATTCTCTTTCTTAAAAGGCCGGCAACGCGTTTGTGACTCCTGAGTTGCAGACGTCCATGGGCGGCGATAGTCACTTTCCATCAGGTGATCCGTCTGCTCGTCTGCCTTCTCTGACATAAAAAAAAGAAAAAAAACGTTGTGTTTTTTATTTTTAGTCGAACTAGTTTTAGAAGGTTCAGATTTTTTTTGAAATATACCTATGGACAAAGGAGTTGGCAGGTCTCCTGATAGTAAGTGACTATGGACGCCTGCAGGTCAAGATCCACGATTGCGTTGCCAGCCTTTTCTGGAAAGTTTGAAGGTCGTATCAGCCCGGAAACACCACAACCGATAATTTGTTCCATAGATTGGTTGGGCGAAGCAAAAAGTTTAATCGAAATCCAAGTGATGGGGAAGGAGTCTTCTTCGCGTTGGACTAATTCAGCAAGCTGCATTAGATTTGGATTTTTTATTTCTTATGTATATGTGTAAACATGTTCTAGTGCTGGACACAGCGGGGCAGGAGGAGTTCAGCGCGATGCGTGAGCAGTACATGCGTAAGGGGGATGGATTTCTGCTGGTGTACTCCGTCACAGACAAGCAGTCTTACGAGAACATTAGGCACTTCCACACGCAAATACTAAGGGTCAAGGTACTTACTTATGAACTTTTGTGTCTTTTACAGTTTGAGCTTACAGATTTTCGAGATTCTTATATTCTGTTTTGAAAACAATGGGTATAGTTTTAGATTTTAGTTAACAATAGAATTTTGAACTGTACTAATAGTGTAGTGTAAAAATAATTTAGTTTGTATTTTGTGTTTTATAACATATACATAGACTTAGATATATTTTTCAAATAAATGCCAATATATATGATAAAAAAGGGATATTTAGTGCCAATTCATATTCCTGCCAACTGATGTCTATGTCTAAATATTTTCTCCAATGAAATAGGGATATTTTAGAATACCATCTATTTTAGCCTCGTCGAATTTCCGTTTACTATTCCAAGACTTGCAGTGACCCTCACCCTGACTGTTGAATTCAGTTTACCCTCATTCTTTGTTCGATGATTGTATTCTCATAGAGGGTTGAGATTAAGCAGACGGGTTATGAAAGAAACCAGTCAAAATCATCTGCCATGCTATACGATTCACCGACTGCCAAATGGCAGCAGGAGAAGGCGATGATGATTAGTCTTCCTCGCGTAACCCGTCTACCTACACGCTTGTCTGAGAGGCAGCTTAATATCGGTAATTGCTCGGGTGAGGGTATTCCCGCATTTAGACTCGAGAGTGGTCCTTTATGCGTGTGAGCTGACCAAGCTTCTTCCAGAAGCGCAAAAGCCTCCTGGGGCGTTCACAGGCTTCCAGGAGGTACTTGCCCTTTGTGTGGCCTCGGGTGAGGGTCCGTCAAAGAGAAGAGGTAGTAGTCGTCAGTTAGAATGTGTGGTGCGCAGGACCGCGAGACGTACCCGATGCTGCTGGCGGCCAACAAGGTGGACCTCGTGCACGTGCGCGCCGTGAGCGAGGACGCGGGCCGCGAGCTGGCGCGCTCGCTGGGCGCGCCCTACGTCGAGACCTCCGCCAAGGAGCCGCCGCTCAACATCGACGCCGCCTTCCACGAGGTACCCACCTCCCCACCTCCCCACCTGCCCACCTCCCCACGCCCAAGGGCCGGCGCAGACCGTGAGAGCGCACCGGAGAGGATTTTTTTAAATAAACTTTAAAACTATTTCTATAAAGTGCATACACTTAGGCCGAGGCACCGCGAGCATTTTTTGTCATGTTCAAACAAGTATGCACTTTATGTCGATAGTTTTAAAGTTTATTTTTAAGTGTCCTCTTGGTCTGGGTCGGGCCCTAACGTTACACTCAATGACAGTAGACATTTAAAACACTTTTTTTGCCTAGAGAATTTATTACCGGCTTCCGAAGACCAAACAAAACGTAATCAAGATAAATCAACTTATATTCTTGTCTATTAAAGCATTCAAACATGTATTTAATCAACAGCCCTTAACAGTCCACTGCTGGACACAGGCCTCTCCTTAGAAAGGAGGTTTGGCCTACTATACCACGCTGATCAGACAGCTTTGTATAGGATTTGTTTCAAGTTTTCCTTTATTTTGCAGACTGTTGTTTTGCTAATCTAAGCTATTAATTTGCAGTATTAAAAATTTATTACAAACTTTTACAAAATATTTGAATCTGAACACGTATACACACTGTTGGATTTTAATTATACAATGATTTGCCTATATTATACTCTACTACTAATATCTCCATACTCTTTCTAATATCTCTATACTCTCTCTAATATCTCTATACTCTTTCTAATATCTCTATACTCTTTCTAATATCTCTATACTCTTTCTAATATCTCTATACTCTTTCTAATATCTCTATACTCTTTCTAATATCTCTATACTCTTTCTAATATCTCTATACTCTCTCTAATATCTCTTTACGCTATCTAATATCTCTATACTCTCTCTCTACTAATATTTTAAAAAATACCTTAAATTTACAAAATCCTCTAAGATCCTCAATAAACTCAACAGTTTCAATAAAGACTTATATAAATTTCAGCTCGTACGTATAATCCGCAACCACCCACAACAAGAAGAAAAAACCCGGCGCCGTCGTAAACTGTTCGGCTTCAAGTGTACCCTCATGTAAGGCCCGGCTTCACCGTCTCTGGGGGTAAGATGAAATTACAATATGCTCCAAACAGCTGACAGGAAATTGAGGAGTTTTGAAATATTTTATATTTGCAAAATGTTAATGTCGTATATCATAACATGGATATTACAAACGATTACTCGATTAAGGGAGCCCTTAAATATCTGAATGGGGGACAAGATCCACCATTTGATAACCAACATACGTTTAAAACAAAATTAACGTAAACGAATGATAATGTTAACTAGAATTGAATGTTTTTATAAGCGATGTTGATAATTAGTGATTGTCTAAATGTTTCTTAATATTAGCAATGATTTGCTAAGTTCTATCACTTTGAAAAAAATTGTGCTGTTCAAAATTGCGTTGGATTCGTCTAAATCGTCTTATATTCCCGTGAAGACTTTTTGGGCATTTGAGTATGTCAGTACTGGATTTGTACAAGTGAATAACTGTGAGTAATACAGACAAATACAGATTTTTGTACGAAATATTAGCATATTTTTGTGTAACTAGATGTTTTATACGTATGTACATGTATTTTAGAAAATAATTTATAGACCCTAACGATTCTAATGTAATTTAATTTTCCAGTAACTTCAAGAAGTTTCTCGAATATTCAAAAATTTCGAAAATGATATTTTAGTTAATGTCTAGTTAATGTGGACATGCCTGTGTAATCCTGGGAACCACAAATTCACTATATTAACTGGTTCCGCGATATTAAATATCCAAAATTGTCGGTTATGGAACATGCCAGTCATATAATATATTTTTTTAAACCCGTGTTTTCCAGAACAGAATGTTCGACGACGTGATCATGTTGCAATAGAACTCACAATGTTCCTGTAGTTATAACCTAGAAAGTCCCCCCCCCCCCCTCCCTAAACCCCTGAGAGAACTGACTATTTGTCAGCATATTGATAACGTAATCGTTAAATCAGTATATATTTCCATTCCAACATATATTTTTATTGGAAAATTAGCTGTAAATAAAAATATTTTATTTTTATTTATTATTTTTATGCAAAGAATGAGCACAAAATATAGACTATAATATGGGCTAGTAACATATATTTTTATTGTATTATTCGATTATGTATGTGTACAATTAAAAAAAAACATGTAATTTTGCTTGTACACACACAACACACATTACGTTATGGTGAATACAGACCTTTATATGTTACTTTAGCGTCTTAGGGATGATACAAGTATTCGTTTATCATTTTAAATGTTGTGTAATCTTAATGTTCCAATGCGTAGCATTTATTTTAGCTTTAAGAGTATTATGACCAAAAATATTTTTGCTGACAACCCTTAATTAGAAGACGGTTTATCCGCAAATATTATATACGTTCATATGTGCATTTGTTAATTATGATACACCAAAGAAATCGTTATACACAATTTTAGCTTTTATTTTTATATTAATAAGAAATATATTACAATGTTTAATGGAAAAAAGTATTTAAGTTATTAAAAAAATGTATACTAATATAGTCTTTATAGCTGTGTCGGAAGGTAGATATTTGTTTGTCATTGCACAAGTAAGCAGCTAGATCTGCATTCGTAAATTACTGTAATGACTGCTACACACTGAATTGTAATATAAAATTAAGGCTGAATGTACTACCGAGTTAGGATTTACTTTTTAACTTAATCAAAGGGTGTGGTCACACTTTATGCCACTATATGCCAGAAATGCATGTTATACAGATGTTACAAAACAATATGTCAAATTTTAGTAGCGTTATGTGTAGACCACAAATTTGATTTTGTAGAAAAAATATTTTAAAAATATTTTCAGCTTAAATTCAATTGTTTTGCAGACGTAAAATTTACTTATGATTAATTAGTCATTATTCATAGCTACAAAGCTACTATTCAAGCCAGTCCATTCGCCATAGTGTGGCTACACCCTAACTTAAGATCTCTGAAGCCAGCGTCTCCCGACACCCACACACACAACGTGGACGCGCACTAGGGTTAAGCGTAGTCGTATAGCAACTAACCAATAAGTAAACGTGAAGGAATTGAACTAAATATAAACATTAATAATAAGTTCTCTATAATATAAGCCTATTTAAAATCCAGCACAGAATTTAGCACTTAACGCGTTATTGCTAAATAACTGTTATAACGCGTTATTTTTAAACGAACTCAAAAACAGTATGAGATTGAGTGTTTTGTTTTATTTTTTTTATGTTTGTTGCCACAACAACTGTCATTTATGAACCAATTGGAGATTTTTTTAATATTTGGAAGGATTTGCTTTCCGTTTGGTCCCATTCACATTTAAAGAATAAATACCTCCCCTGAAGGTAGAAAATTAAGGAATTAAGAAAACAGTTCATTGTACTTTTTTAAAGGTTTTTTTTACTTTTTACTTAAAAGGACATTTGTGTTGTATTCTGTGCTGGCACTTGCGCTTATTAGTTCATTTTTTGTAATTAAATATCTCATAATATGCTTTTGTTTAAATATCCTTCATGTGAAGCTAACGGTTGAAACAAACCATTTTCTGTAACCTCCCCTGATCCTGGTAGGGGGAGTCAAAGAGTGGCAAACCCACTTATGACATTTGCAGGTGTTCATGCTCGGTGGTAACCACTTACCATCAGGTGACCGGTATGCTCTTTTGCCCACCTATCTAATAAAAAAATCTTATGTTAAAATATATCTGTGTGTATAAGGGCAGGGAACACGTTCACCAGCTTTACTTTTTATTCATTAAAAAGCCGAACGCGAAACAAAATAAAAACCAATGATATCTTTTTTTGTTAACGGTACCTTTGGTACAACATAATCTTTGTTGTTTCTTTCTTCATATACTGTTATGGCTAGTGTGCGTGGATAGTGAAGAATTTATAATGTAAAAGAAAACCCCGTCGTAATGCGCAACGTACTGTAGCTTTAACGTAGAACATAGATGGCGCTTTCTACGTAACCGTTCATGTACCGTCAGCAACGGAAGTCAGTCGACCATTAGTCAAAATATTTATAAAAAAATGTGTTGTGTGCTTTTTTTCTTCAGTACTTCTAAGCCCTTGTCCAACATTTGTTAAGGACTTCTTCTTGTAGGTAAGCATCTCATTGCATTATTGAATCTTCATTTAAATATTTTATGTATTCTTTATTCTAGTCATCAAGAGGTTTATTAATAAAAATGTGATGATAAATAGTGCTTTAGGTTTGTACTAATATTATCATTTCTGCATACGTTACAATATAAAGTCCAGAGGGAGTAGTCTGAAGAGTGAGTGCAGATGGTTGCTCAAACAGGTTTTTTCTCAAATTGCCCACATAGTTCACAAATTTTCACTGGACCTATATGATTACTAGACTGGCAAACTCACTTGACCTGTATTCTCACTGGATCTCTAAGTTCACTGGACCTGTACGTTCACTGGACTTGTTATAAAATAATATCTGTTGCTCAGATACAAGTTCAAATAGTTGTGTATCGTTGCTGATTGATCTGATCTCAGTGGAAATTAGACATGACATTAGAGCACAATACAGAGATATAATGTGAAACACAATTTCCTACTATCACAAAGATATATTGGATCATACATGGTCAAAATTGCGTAAATACAGTACTAAAATAAAAGGTTATTCAATGTTAGAAATATATATTACAAAAATGACAGTATTCTTGTGACATTGTGTTTGTAGATTTATTAATAATTTGCCATCAAGTAATTTATAAAAATAAGGAGATATTAAATGGGAATTTTAATCAAATGAATTAAATACATTAAAAAAATGTGTTTGAGCAAGTATAATGCATAATAATTAAAAGTCTTTGAGATTATATGGTTATGTAGAAAGCGGTAATCAATACCTATACATATATTTATAAAAACTGAGATTACAACTGACATTAATATCAATATAATCCAAAAGATTCTACAAGAGAAAAGAATATTTGACGTCTATATTTAAAATTATATAATGTAAAGAAAAAGACCAGCCGATTGGTTTGTTGTACTGAGTCTAATTCATGTAGATCCAGAAATATATGTGTGTTTATCAGCAGTCTGGTTACCATAGTACAGACTGCCTAGTTTGGTCTCAGACGTCTCTGTGTGATGTGTCAAATTATTAAAATAATTTAATGCAATATTCAAGTCGAAAGCTTTTGCAGTAAATTAACTTGATTTCCATAATACAATTCTCTTCAGAACAATTAATTTATAAGAATGTATTGTTCTATAATTGTAACGCTTTTCTCTTGAACAGTTCTTCAATCTAGTCTATTTAAAAGTGTCCAAATAAGTGTTGTAGAGGCCCCGGCGGGGTGTTATAATATTGATTGTATATTGTTGTTACTCTGTTTTGTATGTTGTAACATATAATAAATGTAGAAACATATACGCTGTTTTATTGTACTTCAAGTAAGTACGGAGAGCTATGCTTAAGAACAGAAAACCGGGTTTTCAATTCTTTCACCGAGGGAATCAGGTTATTAGAGACCCAAAGCTGCCGTCCTCTAACTATGGAGCGGGGGGAGGGGGGGGGGGGTTACTCAAGGATGGCTACGTGCTTGTGACTTTAGAGTTGCAGGGCAGCGGTAGTTACTTACTATGAGGTTATCCGTCTGCTCGTTTGTCCATAGTTAGCATTCAACTCCTATAAAAAAGCACGAACGGGTTGGCTCGACCGGAACGATAGCCAGCCACGGCCTCACAGAAAATTGTGGGCCTCGTGTGAGTTTATTTCACATCTACTTGTCGTCACGGTGACCGCGTTCGACGCTGCGATTGGCCTGGGCCTGAATTCTATTGACACGCTATTGAGATGCCACTGACATCGGGCAATATATTGGTATTCTATTAGCATAAATTCACAGTGTCAATAGACTGTCGATATTGTAATATAAGTCTTCAAACAACACTGTCATATTATAAAAATTAAATTTATAATTTTCTTACAAATTTAAAATGTTCCGTTTACTAAACTATTACAAAGACATCGACGACATTTGTATTAGTGACAAGTCATTGGAAGGCCATTGGTCTTACTTAGTAAAATAAGAAAAGTGCAAAACTATTCCGAAGACTTTCCATCGACAGTCTATTGATACAATAAGTAAATAGCAGAATTGAGGCCCGGCTCTGAAGTCATTACCAATGCAACGTCGAACGCGCTCGCTGACGAGAGGGTCAAGAGTCTGCAATGAATTACTTCGATCAATTTTTTTTACCTCACATCGTGCTGTTAATCAGACCTCTATTGCTTGGAATCCTAGCTTTAAAGCTTACTTACTGAAAAATTACAAAAATAAATGTAAAATTATTTTCTTCAATGATATATTTTAATTGCTTTAAAAAAGACAACTCCCGCATTAGGAATATATCCTGTGTCGCGGGGGACTTTACAAACATACATGAAACGGACACAAAGAACACCCAGACTCAGGACAACAATTTGTGGATCACACAAAGTGTCGTCCCATGTGGGGTTTGAACCCACAACACTCGGCGCAGTAGGAAGCGGCGTGGCGACCGCTTAAACCACTACGCCATCCGTGCAGTCAAAGTCAAATTAACCCCTCATTTCAGTTTCATAATCTCTTACATTTCAACCCTTAGGTGTATAATATTTTCTTTAATTTTTAAATAAGACCTGCCTTGACTTCAACAAAGAATTATTGAAATCGTTCGACAAAATGGCGAATTTATCGTACGTACACGAAAAAGTTTGTCAATCAAATTGAGAATCACCTTTTGAAGTCGGTATAAAAGAGAAAAAGCGCTCTCATATCTTCATAGAGAACCAAATACCATGACGAACCACATTCGGTGCTTCCCTGTGAAAGGGTTTCTATTGTGGTAAATGAGAGCCACAGAGCAATCAATAATATACACGGTACGGCAAAAGCAGTGCTTGTTTAGCTGCCGCTATTAACACCCAGCTCTAAATTTAAAATGTTTCACAGTGCTTCCCATAGATGGCGGTAAACTTTTACTCAAAGTTACACAAGATGGCACTGCGTGCTTCATGTCTAACAAGAAATAACAGGCTGCACATTTCGAGTGTTATAAAATATCTAGATACTTTCGATTTGCATGGGTTTCGCACGGAGTACCCGTGTGAAACATTTAATGCCTTATGTTTTTTCTGTCGTAGGGATTGTTTGTTCCTTCAAAATTATGTGGAGACGTACATCGAAGTCAGACACGCGCGTAAGTTAATTTTTGCTGATAGCTAACAGGCGTGGATCACACAAAGTGTCGTCCCATGTGGGGTTTGAACCCACAACACTCGGCGCAGTAGGAAGCGGCGTGGCGACCGCTTAAACCACTACGCCATCCGTGCAGTCAAAGTCAAATTAACCCTCATTTCAGTTTCATAATCTCTTACATTTCAACCCTTAGGTGCATAATATTTTCTTTAATTTTTAAATAAGAACTGCCTTGACTTCAACAAAGAAAAAGCGCTCTCATATCTTCATAGAGAACCAAATACCATGACGAACCACATTCGGCGCTTCCCTGTGAAAGGATTTCTATTGTGGTAAATGAGAGCCACAGAGCAATCAATAATATACACGGTACGGCAAAAGCAGTGCTTGTTTAGCTGCCGTTGCTAACACCAAGCTCTAAATTTAAAAGGTTTCACAGTACTTCTCATAGATGGCGGTAAACCTTTACTCAAAGTTACACAAGATGGCGTTGGCGATGGCTTTCTTGACGTCTCACAAGAAATAACAGGCTGCACATTTCGAGTGTTATAAAATATCTAGATACTTTCGATTTGCGTGGGTTTCGCACGGAGTACCCGTGTGAAACATTTTATGCCTTATGTTTTTTCTGTCGTAGGGATTGTTTGTTCCTTCAAATATGTGGAGACGTACATCAAAGTCAGACACGCGCTTAAGTTAATTTTTGCTGATAGCTAACAGGCGGCTTGACTTTGAACTATTTATTTACTATATATTTATTTATCTGTCTATAATATTTATGTATTTAGAAATAT